TCCCAGCTACTTGGGAGGCTGAGGCAGGAGACTCGCTTGAGCCCAGGAGTTGGAGGTTGCTGTGAGCTGTGATGCCACGGCACTCTACCCAGGGAGATCGCTTGAGGCTCTGTCTCAAAAAAAATTTGACAAGTGCCACCAAATTGCCCTATAGATAGTTTTGTTAATTTATAGTCTAAGTAGGTATAACAGTGCACTTCTCACATCACCAGTGGTAGTGAAAATCATTAGTCATTCTCATTTTTGTTAGCCAAATAGGAAGAAAATTATATTAAATTGTATATCTGAGCAAAAGTGAGAATATATTTATTAGTCATTTGTATTTTACTCCAAATTTCCAGTTTACATATCATACACTTGTTCCACAGGAGTCTTTAAAATTTCTTTCTTAATAAATTTTATAACTTCTTTGTATATTAGAACCTCTTGATGATTTTTTGTTGTTACAAATACTTTCTATTTGCTTATTAATTATGCCTTTAGTTTTATCCTTGGTGTTGCTCCTATATAAAACGTAACTTTTTATAAATTCACATCTGTCATTCTTTCCTACATATCTCCTGTAGTTTGTGTCTTACTTCATAAAGCTTTCTTAAGTGGTTTTGATAAGAACTATATATAAGGAATTTGGAGTTGCCTTCTTTAATAATTACTTGGAAAAAAATGTAGTCTGGTAGGGCAATATAAAGCAAATGGACAAATAACTGTTTAATAAGTACCAAGATACTGAAAACTAAAAGAAAATGTAAATTGCCTCTGGGACCAGGAAAATCTTCACAGAGGAGACTGGTTTAAAATAGGTCTTCAAGAATGGAAATGGAGATTTAGAGGCAAAGGGGTATACAGTTCAATAGAATCACAAGGATAAACAGAGAGAGTAGAGGAAGTGGAAAGAACCTACTATTTACTGAGTCCTCCACTGGTTTTGGGCTGTGGGTCAGGTGTTTTACATGTGTTAACTTTGCAAAATCCTCCCAACAGTCTTTAGGAAAAATTGTATATGTGAATAAGCACAAGCATGTACATCCCTAACTTGTCTTCACTGATGGATTTTGACTTTTAGTGCCTTCCACTCCTGTACATCTTGCCAATGGGATGAAAAGCTTCATGAAGAAACCTCCCTACATGCAAGACAGTGCCATCGAGTCTTCTTCCGAGGACCACCACTGGCCGCGTGGTACTCTGAGGCACATCTCAGAGAGCTCCTTTGGGCTGTGTGGGGGCCTGCGGGAAGGAAGCCTAAGTTCTCAAGATTCTAGGACTGAGAGTGCCAGCTTGTCCCAGAGCCAGGTGAATGGCTTCTTTGCCAGCCATTTAGGTGACCGAACCTGGCAGGAATCACAGCACATCAGCCCTTCCCCATCTGTAATATCCAAAGGCACTGAGCAAAAGAGGATTTCCAGCAACAGCAACCGAAGCAAAACTAAAAAGCCAGGCGTTTCAGATGCCACAGATTACTCTGACCGTGGAGATTCAGACATGGATGAAGCCACTTACTCCAGCAGTCAGGATCATCCAGCACCCAAAAAGGCATAGTTTAATCTAATCTTTTGAGGTCTTTTCACTTAACAAAACAAATAGCAGCAAATATTATTATAGAGCAGATTAATCTACTACAAGCTTCATATATTATTCTGGAAAGGAGGAGTAGTTTATATCTTCCGCTACTAACTACTACTGCATTTGATGCTATCTTTCAAAGAAATTAAAAACTTTGAATACTAACTCCAAAATGTCTGTTACTCTGTGAACTTGCTACTTGATAACATAAAGGACAAAATATTCAGGTTATAATTTTCTTACAAAGCGTTCATCTTATGCATATTTAATGTTTATATTAATATGAGAACTTCAATAGCTGAAAAAATTATGAATAGTATTTGAGCCTACTCATTATAGAGGCTTAAGTTTAAAACTACAACTTGGTATATATTTTTGAAGAAAATGAAAATATTCTGTAAATTTAGGGATTTAGATGGGAACTATGTAAAAGCCAGGTTCAAACTAGGTTCTAGCTGGGTGTTTTTCTTGTCATATCTAGACAAGAAAACTGAAGCAAGTCCTTTACTCTTTGGGCATCAGGGAGGCATTGGATTAGATGATCTCTAAGATCTCTCTCAACCCTCATGTTCTTTCCCAACTCTATCCTTAATATCTTGCTTTTTCTTAATTTTTCAAAACACGTGATATTTGTCTTCTAGTAGTAATTCATTTTGACTCTAACAAGAAATCCTTTTTTGTTTTTTTTTTCTTTGTTAAGGAATCTTCCTCCTCAATGAATATATGCAACAAAATGAATTTTAAAACTTTTTCTTCATCACCTCCTAAACCTGGAGATATCTTTGAGGTTGAACTGGCTAAAAATGATAACAGCTTGGGAATAAGTGTCACGGTACTGTTTGACAAGGTTTTCAAATGTTTTCTTAATTTTCAGCAGCCTTTGTATACCAACTTATTTGTTGAAATATTTTGCTTCAAAAGGAATACTTGTTAAATATTTTTAGCATTTAAAAATTGAGTCATAGTTTTTTTAAGAAATTGGTTGTCCTCATCATTCATTTTCTCTTGCATTTTAAAGGAAATAAGACAAATGCTGCCTCTTATCCCCTATATTTCATACTTGCTTAATCTGAATTTAAGACTTCCAAAGTATAAATCAATGCATATGCTTTGTATACATTTGACAGTTTCTGTATGAACATAGATTGAGATGATCCATCTTTAACCTACAGCATGAATAAAGACCATGTATATTTGCATAGACTCTCTCCATAATTATATGATACACTGTAAACATGTTTACTATCTTAAAATTAGAAGTTCCCAAGGAATATGTGTGTTTTAAGGTAGCTAAAATATAAGTATAGACTACTTCATAAAATTATTTTAGCATATTACTAATGAATATGCTATTCCCAAGTTGTAATGTTATCTTTATCACATTTGAAGGCCATTAATAATTAAGAAAAGCCATTTGGAAACATAGTAGAAAAGCACTATCAATATATTAAAGTCAAAAAGAAAACCTAATTTTCTAGCACATTTTAAAATATTATGATACTTTTTCCCTAACACTTAATAGCTTAAGAATTATAGGCTCAGCACCCGTAGCGCAGTGCTTACAGCACGAGACACGACAACATATGGGTCTGTGAAGGCTGGAGGGTTCGAACCAAGCCCAGGCCAGCTAAGTAACAATGACAACTGCAACAGAAAAATAGCCAAGCGTTGTAGTGGGCACCTGTAGTCCCAGCTACTTGGGAGGCTGAAGCAAGAGAATCGCTTAAGCCATAGCCCTCTACTGAGGGCAACATAGTAAAACTCTGTCTAAAAAAAAAAAAAGAATGGTATTGTCTTCCAGTTGCAAAGGTAGATAAAAGCTGCACGTCCACAAGAGATAGAAAATTGACTCATTAGATCTCGTCTATATCATAAAAAATTCCTCTACCAAAGCCTTTTTAAAATGAAAGAAAAACTTTTTTTTCTTGACTTATGGGATTTGCTTTCAGATTAGCAAATATGATCTAAAGAATATTTCATATACTTCTTTTCTGCTAGTTATGTTCTCACATTAATTTTGCATAAATAGTTTTGACTTTCTGTTGCTAATAATGCATGATATAGACTTACAAAGGAAGAGCACTTCTTCATAGAGTCAAGATTTTGCATGTTGTTTTTTTCTGAATTGAATGCAGAGTTTTGCTAAAATATACTGCTTTAACATTTGAAAAACTTAACTACCAGTATTTTTAGTTGAAATAATTATACATGCTGATGTAATGCTACCGCTTTGCCTGGCATACTGAATCCTAAGTAGGGCTCAGATTTGAAATAGAGTGTAAAATTGTTCATATTATAAAATAGTATTTTGTTGTTGTTGTTGTTTTCTGTTTAGGGAGGTGTGAATACCAGTGTCAGACATGGTGGCATTTATGTGAAAGCTATTATTCCCAAGGGAGCAGCAGAGTCTGATGGCAGAATTCACAAAGGTATAATCTTAGCATGTCTGTAGGAATTATACAGATGAATATCACAACAAATAGATAAGAAATTACAAATTGATATAGACCTTCAAATTCATATATGTTCTTGAAATAGGAGCATACTCAATTATAAAACTATAACATTAAGAAACTCCTTGATGCCAGTTGAGAAACTTAATTCCAGCATATTTTCTAGAAAATATCTGAACAGTGTTTCATTTCATGTTTTGCATCTGCTAAGAAGCAAATCACCAGAGAGTGGGGAAGGGTTAGTGCCATTGTAAAAACATTAACATCTGCATTTCTAATAAGAATTAAATAGGGTCTTTCCTCCAGTCTCTCTACATTTGTATTTCAGCTTATTTTTTCTCATGATTTAAATTGATTTTTCTTAAGATACTCTTTTAAAATACACCTAAGATTAGCCATAGAATTGGGAAAGAAATTAAATAATGTATTAAAGAAACTCTGTAACACAGTTTTGTCCAGAATTTTTCTGAGTCTCTCCTCAAACAAATTAATATGAAATATGACCACAAGGTGTTAAAAACATGTAGAATCTATTAACTGCCTAATTTATAGGTGATCGTGTTCTTGCTGTCAATGGAGTTAGTCTGGAAGGAGCCACCCATAAGCAAGCTGTGGAAACACTGAGAAATACAGGACAGGTAAGAGCTCACTCTACCAACTTTTTAAGACACCTTAGAAAAATATAATGTGTGAACAGTATCAATTCTGACTGAGATCTCTAAACATGTTAGTTAATTAGGAAATGAAGCCTGATTCACATAACCATTCTAAAGAATTATTCCCCCTCCCAAATTGAGAAGCAAGAATTATAAGAAAAGGTTTTCTACTGTGAAAGTTGACTTTCTATATCATATTTAATTCTTATACTACCAAAAAGATCCGATGGGAGAAGAGTAGAGGTTGCATTTTATTTAATTTTTTGTAAACATCTACTAATTTCTAGTTATTTTACCCTAGTCCTTCTTTATCCCAAAAGCTAAATTCATTATGTTCAAATATATTTGGGGTCAGGAAGTTTACCAAATTATTTACAATGGTTCTTGTATCATAGTATAATGGTGATTTTTTCTAATACATAAGTTTTCTATAGCATGTTTATGTTATTGTCGTAGGTTTCTAAACAGATTTTTTCTTTTTAATCATGTACCTTTCCATACAGAAAATAATGAACACCTGATTTTGAAACTTTTATTCTCTTATTTTGTCCCTTTATTTTTTTCTTACTCTAAATGATTTTATACCATCAACTGTTCAAAGTCCTGAAAACTCATCTATTTTCTAATTCTTCTTAATTAATGAAGTGCTATTCCATTTACTTAGATGGTTCATCTGCTGTTAGAGAAAGGACAGTCTCCAGCATCCAAAGAACATGTCCCTGTAACACCACAGTGTACCCTTTCAGATCAGAGTGCCCAAGGCCAAGCCCCAGAAAAACTGGTGAAGAAAACAACTCATGTTCAGGACTACAGCTTTGTCACTGAAGGTCAGGCTTTGGGAGACTGTAATCTCACCTTTAAATTACTCCTGACTTATTTAAAAATTGATTTTTACATGTTAGATTACAGTTCATGCCCTAGTTCTTTAATTGGTCTTGTCAAGGGTAAATAATAATCTGATGCAGCACCATAAAGAATTAAAAGACAGAAATATATTTGCAGCTCATAGCAGAGTCATACTGCTACAGTATGTAGCACTTACAGACTGTAAGTGATTACAGTCATTTAATAGTGCCTTAAAAAGTTGTAAAATTCAAAAGGAAAAAATAAGCATAAATAATTGCTGAGACAGTTTCAACTCTATGTGAAACCTTGACTCTTAGATTTTCTATATTTCTATTTATCTTTATGGACTACAGGGCAGAAATTCACCTAGTAGTTCCCAGATACAGGTCTTTCTTACAACCTATACTAGCCCTTGAACATATCACTAATTGGTAGTAAAATAAGAAAATTAAGCATGATGTATTAGTGAATTTATCATAAGACTAAATGTGTTCATAATACCAGGATACCCTTTACTCGGAGATTCCATCTATCTTCCTCTTACGGAGTCTTTTATTTTATAAGTAATGATGGTGGTATACAGTGATTGTTTCGTATTGTATTTTAAATCCCTTTTTGATTACATAAATGTTAGCAACTCTTAATCAGCCCCAAAAACAAGGAGAAAAAAATAGCCCAGATAAGATTTTTTCTGAGTATGAAAATAAAATTAACATACTCAAATTAACATAGTCACTTTATCCCACTGCTCCTTATTTCTTCCATCATTCTCTCTTTAAATGTGTTTTGTAAATTCTTTTCTGGTTATTGTTCTTTTCATTTATTTTGCTGTTGAGAATTTTGTTGGAATACCATTGCCATTTATCTGGATTAAATTATACCTCACCAAAATATTACAGCATCTACTTACTTCTGCATCCCCTCAGCTAACATTAATTTTGCTCCTTACCATCTCTCTCCCGCTGTATAACCAAATTTCTCTCACACCTCTCCTGCCCTAGATTTTTCTCTGTTTTCTCTATTATTATACTGTCTCTTAAAACAGATAGGATTGAAGCATAAATTCTAAAAACCCTGCTTTCAGAACTCTCTGTTCAAACAGTTTAGTTCATGCAATTAGTAGATAATGAATTAAGATTTTGTAGTGATAGAAAGAGACTGTAAAATAGGATTGATCATACTGTAAAGGTGCAATAAATACATATATACAGTTATAAATATTATGGGGAAATGGGTTTTTTAAAATGTGTCTAAAAATATGTGTCTGTGTGTTCATTGTAAACATAACATATTAAGAATACTTAAATTTTTTTATATCTTTTTTTCCCCAGAAAATACATTTGAGGTAAAATTATTTAAAAATAGCTCAGGCCTAGGATTCAGTTTTTCTCGAGAAGATAATCTTATACCTGAGCAAGTGAATACCAGCATAGTAAGGGTTAAAAAGCTCTTTCCTGGACAGCCAGCAGCAGAAAGTGGAAAAATTGATGTGGGAGATGTTATCTTAAAAGTGAATGGAGCTTCTTTGAAAGGACTGTCTCAGCAGGTGAGCCTGTAGAATACATATAAATGATGAATATATAGAGAATGCTATATAGAATGTAGCATTTTTAATGATGAAATAGATTGGCCTTTCAGGATGGCTTTACAATGCTGGTATAACTGTCCCTTTATTTGTCATTCATGGTACCCCCAGGAAGTCATATCTGCTCTCCGGGGAACTGCTCCAGAAGTATCCTTGATTCTCTGTAGACCTCCACCTGGTGTGCTACCAGAAATTGATGCTGCTCTCTTGGTGAGACCTATGCAAACTAATTTATATTTTTATAGAATATAATTGTAGCAATTAACTAATTCAGGTGTAGTGGTTTCATCATGGGTTGAACTTCTGGGTTTTATATGTATCTAAGAGTGCATTTGTGTGTGCTCACTTAACCTCCTTAAGTATATTCCATATTTATAATATAAAATAATTCAATTTACTTTCTCTCCTTTCCAATTTTAGCATTCTAAGATTTCAGGTATTTGTTTTCTGGTCATAAATAAAAAAAAGACAAAGTAATGGTTACAAAAACCTTTTGTCTATTTCTTCATTGAACCAATTCAGGAAAAGTAATTCTCATTCTGAGCTAGTCTGGATGAAAATGAAAGTTATTTAAGACTTTTAAATCTCTGTTGCCCCAGCTAGAGTGCAGTGGCGTCATCATAGCTCATTGCAACCTCCAACTCCTAGGCTCAAGCAGCCCTTCTGCCTCAGCCTCCTGAGTAGCTGAGACTATTAGGCATGCACCACCATTCCCAGCCAATTTTTTCTATTTTTAGTAGAGGCAGGGTCTCGCTATTGCTCAGGCCTGGTCTCCAACTCCTGAGCTCAAGTGATCCTTCTGCCTCAACCTCCCAGAGTGCTAGGATTATAAGCATGAGCCACTGCACCCAGCCCTTAGCCTTTTTTTAAATACTAGAAGTCACAGAGCAAGGGCTGTTTACCCATTTCCCTTTCTTATGTCAAGGAACAGCTAATGGATCAATAACTAACCTATTTTGATGATAATTTACAAATTGCATACTGACAGATCAGAATCTAAACATAGATGAATACTAATAAAATTAAAGAAATACTACCTTTGGCCTGTTTACTTAAAATAGTCTTCTACTACCAGTGAATAATAACTTCTGGGTATGGAAGGTAGGATTATCTAGGCCAGAAGCTTTAACACTTTTATTGGGGGAAGGGAAAGTATTAGAAGAACATTAATAGCAAAGTAACGTTTCTATAAGATGCGTTATAAATAGCATATTTAAAGCCTGTATTAATTAGGATCTCAGTCATATAAGGGAAGAACTGAATACCATTCTCTTGCTGAGTATATCAATTAATATCAGCTTCTAAAAAGTAATTTGGAAATATTTAACAAGGCTTTAAAAAAAAAAATCCTATATTCTGACACTCTAAAAAATTACAGGGAAATAGAATTCAGGTGAAAATTTACAAAGAAGTCCTCCTAGAGTTCTCTTAATAATGCAAAGCTAGAAATAATTCTTCAAATAATAAAAGAAGGCTGAAATAAATTAAAGATATAGCCCTCCATAGGACCATTATCCAGCTATTAAATTTGTTTCAAAGCATAGTTAAGGCCTTTAGAAAATATAGATAGAACCCCAAACTGTGAAATATAATATATATTACCCTAATTTTGATTTAATGTATAAATTATATAGTATTTACAGTTAATTTTTAGAAATGAATATTTTCTTTAGTGAGCATAAATTACTTTCAATATCAGAAGATCAATTGAATATTTTAGTAGAAAGCACTTGGATTTCAAGAAGTTCATTTTTAATTAAATGCTTGTAAAATTAATGTAAGTTGTTACACTCTGATCTTTTCAAATGTGTCTATTACAGACCCCAGTTCACTCTCCAGCACAAGTACTTCCAAACAACAGTAAAGATTCTTCGCAACCATCATGTGTAGAGCAAGGGACTAGCTCAGATGAAAATGAAATGTCTGATAAAAGCAAGAAATGTTGCAAGTCCCCATCCAGAAGAGACAGTTATAGTGATAGCAGTGGTAGTGGAGAAGATGACTTAGTGAAAGCTCCAGCCAAGATATCAAACATGACTTGGAGTTCAGCTCTGCATCAGACCCTAAGCAGCATGGCATCACAGGCACAGAGTCAAGAAGAAGCACCCAAGACTCAGGAAGATGCTATTTGTGCCATGTTTTACTATCCTCAGAAAATTCCCAGTAAACCAGAATTTGAGAACAGGTATTATGCATATTGTGTGAAGCACTGATAGCAAGTAGCTGTTGTTAGTAACTGTTAGCAACAGACATTTCTCTAAGAGTGTAGTACATCTGTCTGTGAACTTCACAGGTGATGACTCTATTGGATGTCTTGTTGTTATGACTGACAGCTTTAGTTATCAAACCAATAAGCTCTCTGAGCCTTCCTTTCCTCTTCAGTGTGTTTACTAATTATTGAGAACGTTATCTATATTTCACATCAGAAAGAGAAGAAAGAGACTTGTTTAGGTAGTGATGCAGTGGGAAAGCAGGGAGCAGAAATATATAGGGAAGAGGGGAGAAGAGGGCAGAGAGCTTGCAAAAGGTAAACACAGAAGATGAAATGATTGAAAAAGAAATGATTAAAAGTATAGAAGCATACAAAGGGGGAGACTACATCTACAAGTATACTTCTAATAGTTACTCATGCACTTTACTGTATCCAGATCCAGCCTTATTTGTTCAGGTTTCGTTTTTCTTTCTAGTCCTTCGTCCAAAGTAACAACCACGGGGTAAGATTTTTATTCTTCTCTTTTCTTTCTTTTTTTTTTTTTTTTTGAGACAGAGTCTCAAGCTGTCTCCCTGGTTAGAGTGCTATGGCATCACAGCCCACAGCAACCTCCAACTCTTGGGCTTAAACTATTCTCTTGCTTCAGCCTCCCATGTAGGTGGGGCTACAGGTGCCCACCATAACGCCCAGCTATTTTTTTGTTTGTTTGTTTTTTGTTGCAGTTGTCATTGTTGTTTTAGCTGGCCTGGGCAGGGTTCAAACCCTCCAGCCCTGGTGTATGTGGCTGGCACCCTACTCACTGAGCTATGGGCCTTTACTCAAGCTGTCCCCCTAGGTAGAGTGCTATGGCATCACAGCTCACAGCAACCTCCAACTCCTGGGCTCAAGCAAGTTTCCTGCCTCCGCCTCCCAAGTAGCTGGGACCACAGGCACCCGCCACAATGCCCAGCTATTTTTTGGTTGCAGCCATCATTGTTGTTTGGCAGGCCGGGCTGGATTCAAACCCGCCACCTTAGTGTATGTGGCTGGCACCTTAGCCACTTGAGCCACAGGCACTGAGCCCTTTACTCTTTTCTTAATTTTTCTGAGCTTTATCATGTTGAAACACACATTAAGCTTCCGATAACATTAGCTTATCCTTGAATTAACAACTAGGAATCAAAAGTACATTAATTTAACCTATCTTACTGATTTTATGCAGCTTAAAGAGGTTCTTCAAAATGGAACCTAGACACAGAATAAATTACTAGTTACATCAGCATGTGATGTGGAATAAATTTGTAGTGGCTAGGATCCCAATCAAATTCAGACATGAATTTATTAAGCATTTCCTGCTGTAGCACAAACTTACAATATTGACATTGAAATATATCTGAAAGTGGTCTTACTTCTTTGTCTCTGTAGTAATCCTCCTTCCCCTCTACTACTGGATGTACCTCCTGGGCAGAGTTATCAATCCCAATCAGAATCTGCTTCCTCTAATTCAGTGGATAAATACCACATACATCACACATCTGAACCAACTAGACAAGAAAATTTGACATGCCTGAAAAATGACTTGGAAGACCACCTTGATGATTTTGAGCTGGTGAGTCATTTCATCTGTATTTTTAAATTCCACATTTTCCCAAGGAAGATTTAGGCGCACACAGTTTCCCTTTAGTTGGAGAAAAAGCTACTTTTAGAATTGCTTCATATCTGAGCCTATTAAATGAATAACATGTCTGGTATATGTCTCTGCTGAGAAATTAAAGAAAGGGCAAAAAAACCTGAGTATGAATCCTGACTCTACCACTGATTAGCTGCAAGATAATAGATACTAGTGGACATATCACTTAACTCTAAGTCTTAGTTGCTTTGGCTACCAAATGGAGCTGGTAACCTTACAAGATTATGGTGAAAGAGCATGCAAAGCACCGACTATAGTATTTGCTATAGAGACTTAATAAATATTATTTTTAGCTGTTTTTCAAATTCTCAGTAATTATTTAATTTCTAATCAAATTCCAATGTAATTTTTTTTCCTTCACATTTTTTGGTGTGGCCAAATAGAATTTACATTGTTGTAAGAGCCCTAGAACTTCTAAAGGTACAAATTAGATTTAGAAACAAAATTTCCAAGTATATGGCTCAGCACCTGTGGCTCAAGCAGCTAAGGCGCCAGCCACGTACACCTGAGCTGGCGGGTTCAAATCCAGCCCGGGCCCACTGGCTGCAACCAAAAAATAGCCCATGTTGTGGTGGGCACTTGTAGTTCCAGCTACTTGGGAGATGGAGGCAGGAGACTCGCTTGAGCCCAGGAGTTGGAGATTACTGTGAGCTGTGATGCTACAGCACACTACCAAGGTCAACATAGTGAAACTGTCTCAAAAAAAAAAAAAAATTTTTTTTTTCCAAGGATGATATTCTTTACATTGATTAAAAACCAGCCTTTTAAAATACTGTTTTTGTTTTTGTTTTTGAGACAGAGTATCACTTTGTCACCCTTGGTAAAGTACTGTGGCATCACAGCTCACAGAAACCTCAAACTCTTGGATTTAAGCAATCCTTTTGCCTCAGCCTCCTGAGTAGCTGGGACTACAGGCACCTGCCACAACACCCGGCTATTTTTTTTTTTTATTAAATCATAACCATATACCTTTATGCACTTATGGAGTACAGTGTGCTGATTTAATATACAATGTGGAATGCTTATATCAAACTGATTAACAAAACCATCACCTCACTTACTTATTTGTTGTGGTAACTTATTTATACTCTTAATAGTTTTGAAATATACCATTGCATTGTGCTTGCTCTTGCACTGCTGGTCTCGAACCTGTGAACTCAAGAAATCATCTGCCTTGGCCTCCCAGAGTGCTAGGATAATAGGCATGAGCCACCATGCCTGGCCTTAAATACTGTTTTTATTATCTAAGTTAGAAATATTTATTGCAGAAAAATTATAAAGAAGATTAAAACCACTTATAATCTTAACATGCAAAAACCATTAACATTTTGGAGTTAATCTTTCTAGATACTTCGTTTGCCTATAATACACAGGTGGGGATAGGATCTACATCTTCAATGTCATTCTTAGCAGTAGTGTGAAATAATCTTTGAATGATTTTTCTTAGAACTTGTTCATCACTCGAGTAAATAACTTCTGTGTCTCAATTGAAATCTTTTAAAAGTATTTTGCTTATTTACACAACTAAATGAATAAAGTTGTGATATTTAATCACCTAAAGACTTGATATTTTTTGCTCTGTGATCTCCATGGGCTCAGCTGTGCTTGTCCCCATCAGTTGCCACGAACGTCTATGCTTTCTTCAGAATGCTTACTCCTGAAGCTTATTCCTGTCTTCTGATTCTTGTGCCGAGGACTTTTCTGTGTAGTGCAATGATAGCAAGTACGCTTCATCTCAAGTACCATTTCTAATTGAATAATTAAGCCTGCCCCAATTATGTTTAAAAAAAAAAGATGATATTTTTACTAAAAAGAAAACTTTCTTTTGTGCCTCTCAACATCTGTCTTGGTTGTTTCGAAATATGTGAAGAATTTTTCTGAATCTTACCTCCAAAAAGGATTCTTTGATCATCAAAGTATAACTACCATTGTGTCCTTGTTTATCTTGAAAATATAAAGATTAGAAACACAAGTAAGTTCTGTCTGTCTATCTCTAGGCCAACACATAATGTTGTACTTAAATCCAACTTGTACATGAAGGGCAGTGGAGGAACATTCTGTCTAGAGTTGGACAGACCTGCCTTCGTCACTTGGACAAGTTAACCCAACCAAGTTAGGTTTGGCTTTCCCCTCAGTTAATCAGGGGAAATAATAGTCACCTTTTTGTTGACTAAAAGGGGCAAAATTGATAAGCTAACGGAATCACTGATTTCCCCTCTTAGGAAGTAGAACTCCTCATTACTCTAATTAAATCAGAAAAAGGAAGCCTGGGTTTCACAGTAACCAAAGGCAATCAAAGTATTGGTTGTTACGTTCATGATGTCATACAGGATCCAGCCAAAGGCGATGGAAGGCTAAAACCTGGGGACCGACTCATCCAGGTAAGACATACAAGAGCAGGCGTCCTCAAATTACGGGCCACATGCAGCCCGCCTAGGACATCTATCCAGCTGACCAGGTGTTTTTGCCACCACTGCCTATCCTGCTTAGCAGCCAACTCGTCCTCGGGCCCAAAGTTCAGCCCTCCAATGGTCTGAGGGACAGTGAACTGGCCCTCTGTTTAAAAAGTTTGAGGACCCCTGTGTAAGAGGAATGGAGGATTTGTGCAAACTCAGCCAAAGAGCAAGCCAGGACTGGAAAAGGAAGAAAACGGTTGAATTAATATAACACCGTGTTTCTCTCTGTCTGGTTTATGTTTGCCTTCTCTAATATTTAAAAGTAAAGGACTTATATAGTTAACAGTTTTTAATTTGAAATCCTTTTAGTCTCAGTAAAGGCATACAACAAGCTATCTCATATCTCAGGGACAGAAAATTTCTTAAATTACTGAAATGATACATTTCCTAGATTAGCAA